ATCTGGGCCTTGTTTAGATGGGTTAGGAATCAGTATTTGATATTGTAGCATTTTCGTTTGTATTTGATAATTATTGTCCAATTATAGCTTAACTAGGCTCAAAAGATTCGTCTCGTAATTTATAATCAAACTATGTAATTAGTTATTTTTTTATCTATATTTAATACTCTATGCATGTGTCCAAAGATTTGATGTGATAGAAAAAAAATGAAAAAACTTACAATCTAAATAAGGCCCTGAAAAAAAAAATGAACCCGAAGTGTGAACTGAGCTCACGCGGTTGCAGACTGCTCGTACAGTTGGCCTGCCTCGTGAGCTGTAGAGACCTGCTGCAACCGCACAAGCAGAAACAAATTTAGGCCATGGGGTGTGTCAGTTCACCCCAAATTTCCAATTTTGACGCTGTGTAAAAAAAAGATTCTCCGTCACATTAAACTTGCGGTACATGTATGGAGTACTAAATGTTGATGAAATCAAAAACTAATTGTACAGTTTGATTGTACTTTACGAGACAAACGTTTTGAGCCTAATTATTCAACGCTACAGTAGTCTACAGGAATTCAGGCGGCGCCGATTCCTGCCAACTAAACATGGCCCATGTTTAGTTCGCCCGAGTCGGCGCCGCCGAATAATTGTCCAATCGTCAACTAATTAGGCTCAAAACGTTCGTCTCGCAAAGTACAACCAAATTGTGCAATTAGTTTTTGATTTCGTCAACATTTAGTACTCTATGCATGTATCGCAAGTTTGATGTGACGGTGAATCTTCTTTTTACATAGTATCAAAGTTTGAAATTTAGGGTGAACTAAACACCTCCCTTAATGTTATCGCTGCTACGACTAATTTATTGAATTAATTTATTATAAGAGAAAAACACTATTCCCGTAAAAAAAGTAGAGGACCGATTCTGGTTGATAAGCTCCGAAGACTCAGAGAAGAAAGCCGAAGACTCAGAGAAGAGAGAACAAAGAAAACGCCGCTGCCACCGTATCTCCTTGTTCTTGGCCTAATATTGCAACTCCTCCGTACACACGACGACGGCGACGACATTCTCGCCGGCCCGTTTCCATCCTGATCAGACGACTGCAATCCACCGGCAGGGTATGTAAGGACTGCGCGTCGCACTCGCACCATTACTTTCTTTTAAAAAAAACGAGAACGTCTGATCCCGTACGTGTTGTATTAATAAGGATCAACAGTACAATGATGTAGCTTTGAGAAAGGCTTCGAAGCACGACTAGTCAAGTAGCATAGCAGAGGCAACCACACAGAAACGCAATACGCCACAAAACATGGGAACAAACGGCTGCACTGCACGACACAAGAAACTTCAAGTCTAATGGTGCAGTGGACCACCGGGCCAGCGTGATCGCCCGCCGGGGCGCCGGCCGCCAGCTCGGCGGTAGCCCGGTAGGCCGCATGCGTAGTGGGCCGGGCCCCCGCAACCATGAGGATCGAGCACGTGCTCGGCCTCTTCTTCCCCCGGCCTGATTTGGCCAGCCGGATCAAAATTCAAAACTAGAGCATAGCGAATTCAGTCCAGCTGGGGAACCGTTTTGCCAGGGCTGCTTGGTGTGCTTTGGTAGTCTGGCTAAATCTTGAAGTGTGTATGAACTGCAGTTTTGTCATGTTTGGCCGCATATATTTCTGCGGCGAGCTTGTTTCGATTGCCTCGTCCCTAATTACGCTCGTTCAAACGTCCAGTTTTAATTAATGATGGAATAGAGTAGTATTTCCGTGTAGACTGTACATGTGGATTTGGGTCGCCTTCCAAGGCGTGCAGCTCAGCGATGCAGAGGATCGAACTGTATGGAGATGGATGACGGACGGCCAGTTAACGGTCAAATCGGCATATGCAGCTCTCCACTCCGCGTCGTACCCAATTCCCGGGTGCCACCTCGTTTGAGAGAAATAGACGCCTTCTTCACGTCAGTGTTTTTGGTTTGCCGTTTGGTTGGTGGTCTTGATTTTTTTTTGAAAAAATATTGTTGGTGGACCGACCGATTGTCTTTGAAACCAAACCAACAACGAATAATTTGAAGGTCTTCATGTGGCTCGCTCTGCGACGGAAGTAATAAACGGCGGACCGACGGCGCGGGCACGGTCTATAAGCCAACGAGGCATGCTTCCTTTGCGGCCAGGAGCCGGAGTCCATAGACTCGTCTCATGCTCCTTCAGCAAGCAGGTACTATCTTCGCTCTAGTTGCCTAGGAGTTGTGGAAGGAGAGAAACGCGAGAAGGCGCCGTCACCCAACTTCAGCACCCACTCGTATTTTTCAATCACGAAGCTGAGCAGTGGGTACAGGCCGACGGAACACATTGGGTTGTCTCCTCTCCGGTATAATAGCCTAGGTGTTTTGGGGAGGGCATGGTAATCTGATCTCTCCCCCCCCTAGCACTACCAGTGTTTGACTCCTTCCTTAATATAAAGACGTGCAAGCCTTTTGTGTGTCCGAGAAAAGCTTTTCGTGTAAAATCAATGAATGGTCCTTGATTGTAGCAAATACTATAATGTTTGACTTAGTTTTAAGTGGTGTTTCCTAATTTTTTTTACCTTTTGTCTAACTCAGAACTCCAGCAAATACTGAAATGTTTGACTTAATTTCAAGTGGTGTTTCCTTGTAAATTTAATTTTGCCTTTTGTCTAACTTAAAACTGTTGCAAATACTATAATGCTTGACATAATTCCAAGTGGCGTTTCCTCATAGATTTGATCTTACATTTTTGTCTAATTAAAGCCCCCTGCAAATGCTTGGTTAGCTTCATTGGTCATTCAGGCCTTTCACATATGTGAAATTGCATATCAAGAAATCACACCTTTGCTCTATCACTTTGCAGTCTAAGAATATACGATTCCCTGGTGGAGAGGTGTTTCACACACTACGTGGACATATTCCGCCGCAACACCCTGGACAAGCAAGAGGAGTCATGTGTCCACCATTACACTGAAAAGTTCCTAAAGCACTCCACGAGGGTTGGTATGAGATTGAATCGTGTCGTGTGGGTTTTATTGTCCCTGCCAAGTTTCTAACCTTGGCGATTTTGTAGCATTGATTTGTAATCCTAAAAAGGTTTAGCATTTTGTGAGATTCACGTGTGGTCAACTGGTCATAAACTAGAATCCTATTCACATGGCTTTTAAGTACAATTCATCTTAAAGCAGTCATAGTGTGGACAATGATGGTCCCCAACAAATTTGTTGTTCATAACCAGGTAGAAGCAACTAAATAGACCTGTGTGTTGATCCAGTGACCCTTGATCATGATCCACTGAATAAATTCATGAACTGAATTTTGACAAATTGTGTACGAAACCAACGCTTTGCTCACTTAAGCATGAAAAGTAGACATACTCATTATCTCCATAACTGAAACACAAAGCCAAGGATCGGCTTGTCACTCCGTTTTGAAGAGGAAAGTTCTAAGTACGAACTATGTTTGGGTTTCCTGTCAGCATCTTATTATGAGTGAAATTTCCATGTCATCCTCTAATGCTAATGAACAATTTCACACCAGGGAACCAAATAATTGCAAACATCAGGCCTCAATCAATCCACAAAGAAACTTCCACATTCAGAAATCCATGCACACACCGAAAGAAAAAAAAATGAAGAAAGAACAAAGAAGATTCTATTCACCCTGGATCCATTTCTTGTTTAACGTTTAGCATAATAGTAATGTACATAAGCCTACGATTTAAATAGCCTGGCAAACGAAATTGTTCTAGATTTATAGTCACGTTGTGTGCTGCTTGGCAGGTTCATAATTATGCATGTCACGAAGCAACAACTGAGACACTATCACACTATACTACGCATCACCCATCGTTGGTCGATTGCTACTTGCTAGTCGACGGCGATGCACAGAGCCAAATCCTTTCGCGATCCCGCGTACAACCTTGTCCAGCCGTCCAGGGCCCCAGTCCGACGAGTCAAATCCGAGTCACTTGGCGTTGGCCTACACGATCTTTGTTTTTATCTTTTGATTTTTGGTAAGCGAACATGATTCTTACTTCCATCCCAAGTGGCGAGGCAACTCGCAAGCACCGAGCAGCTACCCGCCTTTGACCCTTCACGGTGCACGGTCTGCGTTTCTTCTCACTCCGAAGGAGACTGATGTCAGAAAATTTTGACGCGGTATTCCATCACGTTTCACACTGACGTGCCATGATGTGCCGCGTGAAGTACCGCATCAGTCCCTAAATGTTAGTCATCACATTCGATTTATAGAAAATACGTGTAATATTTTTACTATCTCTAAATAAATTTATTAAAAAATTAGATTTAAATATCTATCAATAATACTAATTATATATTATAAATATTAATATTTTTAATTTATATTTAATTAAAGCTATTTCTCGAAAAAAACAAAAATGACAGATATTTATGAATCGAGGGAGTAGCCGAGTAGTAATACAGAATAGAGGACAGAAAATGCCTAACCATCTGGAAAAACTCGAAAGCATTTATTGCGGACTCATCCGCAAACCTTTTTCTTCTGTCCGAACGGGCTGGATCGGCGACGTCATCCCGGACCCGCCAAGCAGTGTCTTGGCTAGGCACGTGAGGCCGTGCCGTGTGGTCGACGCGAAACGCTACCATTCCGTTACCCCCTCCACGTCACGGGAGCGCATCGCGGCCGCCCGTTCCAGATCGGATGGGCCGCGGCGCCATCCGACCCCGCGCGGCCCCACCTTCAGCGAGAGGCTCGCGCCGTGTCCCCGTTCCCAGCTCCGCCTCCCTTAAAACCCCACCGCTGTTCGCGTCCTCGTCCTCTCTCTCCTCTCATCTCCTCCTCTCCTCCGCCTAGGCGTTCACGCCGTCGCCAGCGCCTGCCGCGGCGAAGCTTCTGCCCTCCCAGGCGACGGGCTCTGGTTGTCGTCGGCCAGGTAAATCTGCCCGCTCCTTCTCCCTACCCCTCCTCACGGTGTGGATCTGGGCTGTCGACGGGTTTCAGATTCAGGGGGGGTAAGATTGCAGAGATCTGTGGCGGTTTCTGATGGGTACGAGGACGGCGTCGATGTTTAGGGTCTGGATTCGTGCTTTATTTTTAGGGATGGTTGGTTTCACCCGGGGGATCGAGCGAGCAAAACCGATGCAACAGAGGTGACGATGGTTTTGTCATGCTAAGAGTCAGCTAAAATTGTTTGCATCCGAGCTAATTGGATCTGAGCTAATTGGTTAGTAATGATCGCGTATTTGCCACGGCATGTCGATCCATTCGTGCAGTTTGTTAGGTAGGCACGGAAATTATTATAGATATTTGCAGATCGTCTGTATCCTTCTCTAAGCTTGTGTGGCTTCAGACAAATCTTGATGCACATGACAAATCTTGTTTTGCTTTCTGAGCATTCTATTCGACTGAAAACTGAACTCATGTCCTATCTGTGCCTTCCCGAGAAGGAAATATCTGTATACAGAAGGTTGTTCTATACTAGACTGGATAGGCTCACATTTATGTTAAGGTCAAACTGGTGCATAGTAAACTTGTTAGCCATAATAAACTGTACGGTCATACTAATCATTGTCATTGGAGCATGCAAAACTTTGTCATTGTATTACGCAAAACTTTTACCAACTTCTTTTTTCCTGATTACAGGAAGATGGCTGGCGGCTTCAGGGTACTGCATCTGGTCAGGCCCTTTCTGGCTTTCTTGCCAGAGGTGCAGAGTGCGGATAGGAAAATACCATTCAGAGAAAAAGTTATCTACACCGTTATTTCTCTCTTCATTTTCCTGGTGTGCAGCCAGCTCCCACTCTATGGCATTCATTCGACTACTGGAGCTGATCCTTTCTACTGGATGCGTGTTATCCTCGCATCAAACCGTGGCACTGTGATGGAGTTGGGTATTACTCCAATTGTGACCTCTGGGATGGTAATGCAACTTCTTGTCGGATCGAAGATCATTGAAGTTGACAACAGTGTGAGAGAGGATCGTGCTCTGCTGTAAGTGTCGTCTTACTAAAAATGATGTAACCTTCAATTTCTCACATTTATCACAATTCTAATTGTTGTTGGTTATTTTGTCCGTAGTCTTTCTGTAGCATTTCTCTATCATAGTCTGCCAAAGTAGATTATAAACCTTCTAATTTGTATTTATTATATTTATTTCTTTATTTATTACTCAGGAATGGTGCACAAAAGTTGCTTGGTATCCTGATCGCTATTGGGGAAGCAGTGGCATATGTCCTGTCTGGAATGTATGGCAGTGTAAGCCAACTTGGAACAGGGAATGCTATTCTCATTATACTTCAGCTTTTCTTTGCTGGCATCATTGTCATCTGTCTGGATGAACTTCTCCAGAAAGGTTATGGTTTGGGATCTGGCATTTCTCTGTTCATTGCTACCAATATCTGGTAAGCACATTGGACTTAATCCTTTTATTGATGTGCTGTTCTGTTGCACTTAAGCTTATAATATGACTGCTTTCTTGTAGTGAGAATATCATCTGGAAGGCATTTAGCCCCACAACCATCAACAGTGGCCGTGGTGCTGAATTTGAAGGGGCTGTCATTGCACTGTTCCATCTGTTGATTACGAGAACTGATAAAGTCCGTGCTCTTCGTGAGGCTTTCTACCGCCAGAACCTTCCAAATGTGACCAATTTGCTTGCCACTGTCTTGGTCTTCCTCATAGTCATCTATTTCCAAGGCTTCCGTGTTGTGCTTCCAGTGAGATCAAAGAATGCTCGTGGGCAGCAAGGATCATATCCAATTAAGCTGTTCTACACTTCAAACATGCCCATCATTCTGCACTCTGCACTGATTACCAACCTCTATTTCATATCCCAGGTACCAATGCTGTAGTAAGTTATATCTCTTTGTATGTGTAAGTGCTAATGTATTTTATTGCTATCACAGCTTCTCTACAGGAAGTACAGCGGAAATTTCCTTGTTAACCTTCTTGGGAAGTGGAAGGAGTCTGAGTACTCTGGCCATTCTGTTCCTGTTGGTGGTCTTGCTTACTATGTAACTGCCCCATCAAGGTGAAAATCAGTTCCTTCAATGGGGAGGCCTTTTTGTCATGATGATCGTTTTTGTTGTTTTTGTTATTCCAGAAATAATTGATCGTTCTTTTGACTAACAATAGCACATTGGAAACAATGCAGTTTGGCTGATGTCCTTGCAAATCCATTCCATGCACTGTTTTATGTGGTCTTCATGTTGTCAGCTTGCGCTTTGTTCTCAAAGACGTGGATTGAAGTTTCTGGTTCATCAGCAAAGGATGTTGCTAAGCAGCTCAAGGTACAAACAATTATACACATATTTTTATGTAAAATTTCATCTGCCAGGCTGAGGTAGTTTTATCATAAATTGTTGTCTATATTCAAAGCATTATATGATTGATAAATTTAGATGCCAGTATGAGTACACTAATAGCATCACTACAAACAACACATTAACATTTGATGTTTCAGTGTCAGATCTTTGCGTGTTTTGTATATGATACTGTACTACATTTTCTGGTTCTTGAATCAGTGTACTATTATGAAACCTGAGATGGAAGAACATGTTCTTGGTTGAGAGGAACACACATAATCTTTCTAATGGGATATGGTATATCTTAATGAATTTCCACATGCCTATCAGTTGAAGATTTGGTGTGGAGCAGTTTACTTAATGCGTTGAGCTACTGTTTATATTTGCCTCTCTTATATGCAAACTCACTACTCCAACAATTACCTGTAATCTTCTGACACTGGATATTCTACAGGAACAACAAATGGTGATGCCAGGCCATCGTGAGTCAAACTTGCAGAAGGAACTGAACCGTTACATCCCCACTGCTGCTGCATTTGGTGGAGTATGCATTGGTGCATTGACTGTCCTGGCTGATTTCATGGGTGCGATTGGTTCAGGAACTGGTATTCTGCTCGCTGTGACAATCATATACCAATACTTTGAAACCTTTGAGAAGGAAAGGGCGACGGAGCTTGGTTTCTTTGGTTTTTGATTAGTAGCTGTGGAACCTTGACTTGGCTATAGCTGAATTTTCATGTAAGTCGCTGTAGTGCTTAGCCAGTTGTAACTTAAAAGAGTTCTGTTTAGGTTGCCTTCTTGCGGCCACAATCATGTAGCAGAATCTGCGTGTGTTTCAGGTTAGTGTGGGGGTATGTGCATCTGTCCAAAGAAGCGTGCTCATCCATCCACAATCAGTCATCTGCAGTCTACAGATTGCTCATAGGTTACCCTGGCAACTGGATGTTTTGTGATCAATTTCAGTTACTTTTGAACTGAGCATGTTCTTATTTTCACTTCATGTTTCGGTCTGTTATTACTAATTTCTCAGAACTATAGATGCTCACAGGCGCTTTATTTCAATGTCTATTTTATGATGAGACATGATTATCCCTGATTGCTTGTTTGGTAATCCTGTTGCTGAAACAATGGGCAAAGAAGGGGTATTTTTGTTACATTGCCTGCGGCATTTATGTTAACAGTATGTATATATATTTTTCTAGAGTTCCAAACCCTGGTCCACCTGAATTCCATTGTGATCAGAATGTGCAAGCTAGAACGTTGTTGAAGCAAACATATAGGTAGTGGTAGCTTAATCACTAAATCAAAGAAGCCAAAGGCATCGAAAGAACATAAGGTTTCGAGAATAACTCTGTTAATTTGGCCGGCCTCTGGGGCAACGTTCGTTCCAGCAGCACGTCTTTTCTCACTCCTTCCACCTCATTGAGACCTGTGCTATAATTGTAACAGTAAAAAAGAGACGTGGTAAATGCACTTGTTCAAAAAATTGGGTTAACATACAGCCTGGCTCCTCCATACGACCGCGGCGTCCCTCCCCTCCCTACACAGCAGTCAGTCAATACCCCTCACAGCTTCACTGACGGACAAACTTGCCCGAGAGCAATGCGGCCCGGCGACGTGCCTACAGGCGGCTACTATGGCGGGGGAGTAGCAACAGTGTACTGTGTCCCGTAGGTTTCTAGCGGCGGAGACGAGGAGACAAGCCCTGCGCCGTCGGTCGCCGTCGCGGCCTCCTCCTCCCGTCCTCCGCCTTCTCAACAGGCCGAGGTAAAGCTTCCAGAATGGCGGTAAGCTTCCTGCCTTTCTCTATTGTATTTAAAATAGGTCTCTTTTCTCTTTTCTCTTTCCTTCGAGAATGGCGTAGCAAGATTGTATCTTTTGTCTTCAATGGGGCTTCAGATTTGTACTTGTGATTTTTGCAAGGTTGTCGCTGCGTGGCAGTAGTTCTTGTTCTCTCCATTTGCGTTTTGTTTCTTGGCACTAAAAACTTTAGATCCGTGTGCCGGATCAGAGTTACTTATGGTTTTAGCTTTCGGATGGGGTACTCACATTGCTATTGGTTTTGTTCCAATTGTTACCTGAGGTATACCTGAAGCGTGATGAACTCTTGTCTCACAGGACGGGGTCGGTGGCAGCGACGACGGAGACAAGTCCGTGTGGGACAGTGAAGGCGAGGTGGCGAGGAGCCTCGACGGCGCTGTCTCGCCAATTGCGACCTCGAGGAACAAGCTAAAAGGTGCTCCTGGCCCGTCCATGCTGGTAAGGCAGCTAAGTGATAGGTACCCACGCGAACTCGTAGCTAACTCACTACATTGATTATTCGTTGTTGTTCGTCTCATGTTAGTATTTACCTTGTTGTGCTTATGACCCAAATGTGGTGTCTGCTTGTGGAATTGTGTGGAAGCATGGTGATGGAAAGGTCAATGGAGCAGGGCCATCTGCCTCTTTGGTGGAGGACTTCGTAGGGATGGGTCTCATTAGGGAGAATGGTATGTAGTAACCGATTTCATTCCCCTCCTGTTTTTTAGGCTGCGACTGTTTTTTAATTTTTCATACTTATTTTGACTACTGATTTTGTTTTCAGGAGATGGTGGTGCAGAGTCATTACTAGAGCTTCTTCTGGCCTACAAGGTACTCTCACCAGTTTGCCTCCTTTTATTGATCATTCGTTTTGATCCTCTTATTGGATGGTGAGAAAGATATATTCTATTTCGCAAAAGTGATATTGTGAAATGCAGGCGATAGGCAATGACCCTTCATTGGATAACTCCTCTGCTTCTGTTTGTGGCCCCCGGACCATTGGTCATGACAAAGACGTTCTTGCGATTTGGGATGCACATGATGCTAGTACGAGCAGCGACAGGGATCATATATCTGATGATTCTGGTGATGAGGTACTTTCAAGCTTGACTACAGAAACTTTCACTGTACTTGAGGATTCAATTAATTTACCTGATCCCTTGTAAATTAGTTTTGTACTTGTTTCATGGTAACCATGCCCTGCATTTTCGGTACTGCACAAATCGATTACTTGGGCCCAAATTGTAGGGTCATGTATCACTTCCATTCCCCTTTATTTTTTTCTTCAAAGAAACAGGTAGTCCCTACATGGATATATAGCTGTAACAGAAATTGGATGTGCTTTATTTCCCGTTTTTCTTTTTCCTTCTTATTTTGAGGGTCTGTTGTTTTGGGCAATCTTTCATATTTCTATATGATTATTAAGCTTGCTAATCCAGGTATTGATTCCATGCCTCTTTCATCTTGAACTTTAGTTTTTACCTATGATAATTGTATGGTGCAATCTGCAACGGCATTCATAGTTCTATCTACCAACGAATTTGTCTTGTATTATCCAATATTTTACTTTGCTATTTTTCTATTGAATATATTATGTATACAAGCAGGTTACAACTAGGTTGGAGTTGTAATTGATGGTTAGGGATAGAGTTTGGGTTGTGCTATAAATATAAGGGCATCACTATTGTGATATGGATAGAGTTTGGTGGCCGGTGTGGGTGGCAGTGGTGGTGGCAGTTTTACTGCCTTGATGCAGTCTGCTGCGAGTGGCTGCAGTGGGATGAGCATCCGTAGTCATCGCCCTAGTGATGTAGGCATCTTTGGCTGAACATAGTCAACAAATATTGCGCCTTGACATCATTCTCTTATGTTGTTATGACCGGCATCCAGTACTTCAGGCGAAGGCCCAGCAGTGGCTAGAGGATGCCGGCGGGTTAGGGGGCTCAAGGCCCATATTTATCATATTTTACATAATATTAGAGTTATTTTCTATTATTATTATTCAGAGACATATAAATACCTGTAAACTCTATTGAGGAAAGGAAGCGAAACAATTATTGTTTCCGGCTTCCTCGAGGGAGCCGGAGAAACCCTAGCCGCCTTCTCTCTTCCGTGAACAGTACCGCGTCACTGTAGCGCTGGTATTGTAGCTCTCCCTTCATGAGATCACGGCGCCCGCCGTGGTCCATCTTCGATCACCCACCGCTACAACCTCACGCATGGTTCCTATCATATGTGGTTCTTGAGATAAGAGCATGGTGTTTGTACTTTATGTGCTTCCGTGCTCATCAATTTGAGGCTGTTGACGTGTTGATATTATTAATTGTTTTTTTAAAGGCTTGTGTATCTAGAGTTGCATGCAGCTAACCGGTTGAATTAAACAAATTGATACCTAGGTACTAAAATTTTGTATTTCCTAGTTATAGTAGCCCTCGGTTCCATCTATTTGTATAATCTCAGTGCTTTCTAATATGGTTTCCTGTGCTTTTAAGCAGGATTTCCTACAAGGCTTGTCACAGAAGGACGAAAAAATTGAGTCCTTAGTGAGAATGGGCTTTCCTAAAGATGAAGCAGAAATGGCTATTGTCAGATGTGGTATGCTCTCTATTGAAGTCTCTACAAATGTCTTTTTGGTCATGAGTAGCTATTAGTTCCTTTCAGTTGTTTATACAGGCAATGGTGTGGTATTTTACATTTTAATCACCTTATTTCACCCACCTCGTTATGCATCTTTGCTTACAGTACCCAGTTATATATACTACTCAGCAAAATAAGTTAGTTTTGTAGAAACTTTGTTTTCAAGGTTAAGTTCCAGATTAGTGGCCTATGTTCTTTTATAGATCAATCAGTTGGCTAACAGCACTGCTATGTTTAATGTGACTATCGAGTTCTTTTATTTAGCTTTTCTAGCTTTCTGAGAACTTTCCTCAAGTGCTTAAGCATTAAACCAGTGACTTGAATGTATTTTCTTCAAGTGAGATAACCTGATCCAGTGGCCTTTTGCCAAGCTTGATTTATTGTTTGCATAAAGTCAGGGGTTGTAGGACTAATTTTTTGAGTCTGAAGAGAGAGCACTAAGGGTATCAGTCACTCACTTGCTATCAAATAAAAATATTTTTTGTTTCCTGTGAGCAGACATATCTCTTGCAGACTTGTACTGTCTTATTTCTGAGTTACATCTACCTTCAGAATTTGTTCCGTAACTTTCTAGTTAGACACACTCCAAATGCCTTAATTCACTGATTCTTTCTACTTTGGTTTAAAACTACAAGGGCAGGATGCACCTATGTCTGTTTTGGTTGATCTAATCTATAGTTCAGAAGCTTCAGAAGATGGTTACTATGGCAATTTCTCTGACCATGAGGTAAGTGTTAGTATATATGTCTATTTCGGCTAGCAAAAAAATGTTTGGTTCCTTAAATTGGATGGATGGAAACTAGAACTGTGTTTTGTAATTCTACAGGATGATTCTTTTGGAGGAAGAAAGGAAAAGAGAAAGAGATCTGAAGATGCAGAACAAGGTAGTAGAGAACCCTTAGATGGTAGCCATGATGAGCCGATGCCTCTACCAAACCCAATGGTTGGGTTTAACCTGCCAAATGTGAGCTTAAAATCAGTGGACAGATCTCTATCCTCAAAGGCTATTGGGCCACCTTTCTTCTACTATGAGAATGTAGCCATTGCTCCAAAGGGTGTCTGGACGACGATATCACGGTTCTTATATGACATCCAACCTGAGTTTGTGGATTCAAGGTTCGTATGTGCTGCTGCTAGGAAAAGAGGTTACATACATAACTTGCCAATTGAGAACAGATCACCTCTCCTTCCCTTACCCCCAAAGACAATATTTGAGGCCTTCCCCCATACTAAAAAGTGGTGGCCCTCATGGGACCCTAGAAAACAGTTCAACTGCCTCCTGACCAATATGGCTAAACCTAAGTTGACAGAACAGATTCACCATGCTCTTGCAAAATGTAAAGATCCACCACCTCGACGTGTTCAGAAGTATGTCTTGGAAACATGCAGGACGGCGAACTTGGTATGGGTTGGTCTGAACAAGGTTGCTCATCTAGAGCCTGATGAGATGGAATTCCTGCTTGGTTTCCCCAAAGACCACACCAGGGGGATTGGCAGGACTGAGAGGTTCAAATCTTTGGGCAATTCATTCCATGTTGACACCGTCGCATACCATCTCTCAGCACTTCGGGACATGTTTCCACATGGCATGAATGTCCTTTCCTTGTTCTCTGGCATTGGAGGAGCAGAGGTAGCTCTCCACAGGCTCGGCATACGCATGAAGACAGTCGTTTCGGTGGAGATATCTGAGGTGAACAGGTTCGTCTTGAGGACTTGGTGGAATCAGACCCAAACAGGCACTTTGATTGAGATCGCCGATGTTCAGAGCCTGACTACCGAGAGGCTCCAGTCATGCATCAGGAGGATTGGTGGTTTTGACCTAGTGATTGGGGGCAGCCCCTGCAACAATCTTGCTGGGCGCAATCGATTCCACCGTGATGGCTTGGGGGCGAGCAGTCGTCCCTCTTCTACCACTATTACAGGATCTTGGACACGGTGAAGTCCATCATGGGCAGAATGTAGAAGATTATTGCAGCCTACCATGGAACTGAACTGATTTTCTTTTTCTCGAACACCATGGAACTGAACTGATATGTCCCTACTGCTGAATTTTGTGGGGGTATGCATTGGAGCAATGACTGCCCTAGCTGCTGATTTCATGGGAGCACCTGGTTCGGCGACTGGTATTACCATCAGTAGCGGCAGAAGAGTGCCTTGGCTGTGGCTGAATCTTCTGCCAGTCACAATACTTTATTTCGTTTGATTATATCCATGCCCTTTGACTGGCAGTGCTTGAGCTGTTATTTGTGATAATCTGTCCAGCAAGTTCTGGTTGAGTTGTCAATTGAGATAACTTTGAGCTGCTATTAAAATGGACACGGGAAGTTTTTTCTTTTCACGAAACAGCCTTTTCATTGTTTTAGTTGCAGAAAACTTTGTTTCTTGGCTGACAACGATTAATCTGGTTTTATGCCCATACTGTAATTTTCAGCAAATAGTTTTGTTTTCAGCAAATGTTTTTTTCCTGTGTGCTGCTGGTTTTGTTTTGCTTTGTTTTTTTCCCGTGTGCTGCTGGTTATAGCATAAGAGAAATTATATGTCGGGGTATATAAGTTTAGAGACTATGTCTAGTTAATCCGCATCTTATATATTTTATATTTTTGAAACGGAGGACATTCTCCTCCTCTCCTCTCCACTCGCTGACGAGCTTTCCTTACTCTTTGGTGTCTTTTGAAATGGAAGAAAAAAAACCTTAGGAATTTTAAACGATCCATTTTCTATAGTAAAATTTCGATGAGGACTTTCGAAACAAGGGAACGCTTTTCAACAATTCATTTGAAATTTTTGTGGATTAGGTAATTCTGAAGGAATTTTGGAGGAAATTAAAGTTCCCTTTAGACGCGGGAATTTCATATGTTTTATGCCCTCGTGTGTAAATGGGCTAATTTCTGTGAAATTTATATGTTCTAGAAGGAACCCAAACAAGATCTCCAACTTTATTGTTTTGTTTTGTGTGTTCTTTCTTCATTGTTTCCAAAGACATTTTAAAGTTTTATTTGTTTTATTTAAGATCTTATGGAATTTAAAGTGATAGGACACTTTATTTGTACGTTTTTCCTATTTATTCATATATTGTATGTAAATCTTTTTGTTTAAAGGGCTGAACCGTCAACCGTGGATGAAGGAAAAGAATAAGATACATTTTTTTGAGGGCCCAGCACTAGGGCAACTAGGGACATGGCCCTAGTCGTGGCCCAATTAACTAGGGAGCAGTTCTTCAGTTTATTGGTCCATCAGACACCAGCCCAACAAAGGAGTTAACTGAAGCCAGGGAAAATAGGGCAGCGGAAACGCTCGCGCGTCAGAGTCGCGCGCTCGGGCCTTGCCCCTCGGCCGGTCGCCGGCCGCTGCCCAGCCCCAGCGCCCGAAGAAGGCCCAGCAGGACACAAAGCCCACGAAGCGACCAGGCGACTCCAATTCGTCGCCCCAATCCATCCGCTTCTCCGTCGCCCGCCGCCGGGCGCCGGCTGCCAGCCTCTCCCCTCCCTCACCACCCCCTCCTTTGCCGACCGCCACGCCTCTCCCTCACCACTCCTTCGCTGCAAGACAGTACCATGAGTCCATGACACCTCGGCACCTCGCCCTCCGCCCTGCAAGCTCACAGAACAAAGATTCGCCTTCCTCTTCCATAGCAGTAAGCCAGCGACAGCAGCAGCAATGCGACCTTCATTTCGTCCTTTGCATCCCAAATTCCAGCAGTAGAAGAGCTTCTAGTCTAATTGCTCCTTCATTTTGTTTGCAGGAAGCCAGCCTATTCGAGACGAGCTCGAGCCTTGCTGCCTTGGCGAGCTTCAGCCGAATCGAGGTCGAGCCTGGCGGCAGGCCAACAGACAAAGCAACGCAAAAACCCTTCGAATCAATGGAGACCTCCGCAGCAACCCCGACCCGGCCGCCCCACCCGGCGGCCGCTTCCCCATCACCGTCGTCCTCGTCGTCGCTGAGGCTGTGGAGGTCAGCGGCGCAGCGCAACGTGCGCAACCAGTGGTCGCATCTGAGCACCGCCAAGGACCAGTGGCTGGCCGCCGTTGCTGATGGCCGCTCCCACGCCTCCGCGCTCGTCAACACCCACCTCTCCCGCAGGTAGGCCTCCTTTCTGTCTGTGTGGGGTACTTCAGGGTTTGAGATTTCGGCCATGGATGATGGAGTTGTGTGGGGTTCGCTGTCAGGAACATGCCGGCGACGGATTTTGGGGTGCTCAAGGACATGCCGGGGATCCGCGATAAAGCTAACTCCAAGTTGGCACGTAGAGAGGTAGTAACACCTTGGCCACCAATTCAGTGTAAGATTTGCTTCACAGGGTGATTTAGTTATCCATTATGCTACTAATCCTTTGATTTTGTTGCTTTCTTGGTTTAGGAGCAATACAGTGGCATGCTTCTGTCGGCCTACAAGGAGATGGTAATTTACCACTGCAAGGCTATGCTGATTCAGTTATTTTAAATTCAGGTCCCATAGCGCATTGTAGTTTGATGTCAACTCCTCCAGTAATATTTTTCTTCATTACCCTGTTCATAGGTCCGTCAGCTGTCCTACTTGGTTAAAGCTTCCCATTCTATGCGCCGTTTTTCCAAAGCGACTCCAAATTGTTCCATCATGCAGTTTTCTGACCGCCAAGATGATTTGAATGATTCAGGGGATGGTGGAGGAGCGCCAGTATTCAAATGGTTCTCCATATTAGAATTTGGTGGGTTACTCATCTCTTGCTTCTGTGGATTAAGTCACTACTAAGATCTTTCGTCTGTTGGGTGTGCCAATGATCTCCTAACCTATCTGATTGCCTTGGAAAAGTTTCAAAAGGTCAAATGAGTTTGATTTAGTAAGACTACTCAGAGTACTATACTTTTCTGGTTAAATATATATATTCTCACGTTTGAGAAATGCCAATCAATATCTGAGATCACTGCACAGATTATGTTTACATATTTCGAGTCCACATGATAAAAAGATATTGTGTTTTCTTTAATCACCTCAGAGAGTCTTGCCCAGGAGCTTGTTGAGATGTTTGTTTCAGAGCAAAAGTTGAAGGTACATCATCCCTCTTTATATGGTGATGCTTGCTGATAACAGAAAAGTTTTTTTATTCAGTCTATCTGTGTTTTAGGTTGTGCGTTCTTCTTCTCTTTTGGAGAAGTCTCCTGACAATGTAAATCATTTGTATCTGTAGAGGCTGCTACTCTTGGGATTTCTCTCAATTACTTTAAACAAAGGTGTAGAACATCAGACATCATTAGATTGGGGTGATGAGCTATATGATGGTGAATCAAACGAACTTCAGAGTATTGGCCTTCAGTCAGGAGATACCTATCAACTGCCTGAAAATTGGAGTGTGGATATCTTAGGGAGTCAGCGTCCTGGCAATACCCCTTCGCACGAAGTTTTACAGGTTCTTGTTTATGGTTTGCAAAGTTCACTTATGGTCCTTCGGAAATCTTGCACTTTATCTAGACACATGCATGTCATATAACAAACTGTTTCTTTCCTGATATCCTCTTTTTAGTAGGCTTATAGAATACTAAGTTGTCAATGTGTAAACAAATGATTTATAGAAGGATCATCTTTGTATTAGATCAAATTTAGCTAGCTAAAGCTGTCATGCTTCTCAAACAAGGTTATATATCTTGTTAACTTCCTGTTTTACAGGTTTATTTAACCACTTGGCATACTAATATGAACATCAAGCTGAGTAGGTAAACCATATTTTGTTATCTTTTAATTTTTGGATTTTATATGTTAATAAACAGAATTTGCACCTTGAATTTGGTTGTGATAACAATGATGATTTCTTACATTATATCAGAATTGATGAAATATTTGAGCTTGTTAAGGAGGAGATGGAGATTAAACTGTCTTGAAGATTCTGATTCATTTTTGGGCTAATCATCAAGTAAGAAGAAATGGAAAAGAAAGAGCAATCAGTTCATTATTCATCAGGTTTCTCTATCCAGTGTCTTTCTTTGCCTTAGTAGAAGTCTCGAGAGCTTACCTATGCTCTTAGAATATAGTACTGCTCTCGAAATGCACATACAGATCTAAGCCAGTACAAACCCATGCTATTTACCCAATGGTCGCCCTGGAAACATATTGGGAGAGTTACGGATCATTCACCTAGCTTCAAGTTTGTTCTGAGATAATGTAGATGTGCAATATTTGCTTCATTCGCATGCGTTACAGATCTTGGTGACATGCTTGTCGAAAACACATTGCTTTTGGTGGTTTTCATTACGTTTATGGATTGTAGATTTTCTGGTTATTATTATTATTATTATTACAAACCCAGAGAAAGTAAGCTGTGGATTAATCCATGCACGTACATGATGTATGTTGTTGTCCTTTGGTGCTGGAAGGATTAGTGGGTACTGGGTACTTGGGTCTGGTAGCCTGTGTGGGAAAAGGCAAGCACACTGCTGCTAGGCTGTACTGTCCAGTTGCCTTGGCCCGCTATGTCCTATACCCAGGCTGGGCCTGTCAGCCCATCAATGTCCCTAGATCCAAAAACTTCTACTTTATTTTGCTCGGAGGAAAAAGAAAGGCTTTTGCCTCTCTTTTCTGTTACCGTCTTGGATGGCACAACAAGGGATAATGTACGCCGCTGATTTTATTAGATATATACAATATACGCTCTTATACTTACACTGCAACGTACAGCATGCTCTATGTATCTGGAGAAAAAAAATCATGTCCTTTTCCATAGCCAATGAACATCCAAGTCTTGGGCCAAATATCTGTGTGGTTTTCCTCTTCTTTTTAGAGGGAATATCTGCGTTGTTTTCTAGTCATTCTGATGTTGCCATAGGCATGATCCATCTCGCCCATATTCCTAGGGTGATGTGGCAAGAGGAGAGCCATTGGGCCAATGCCTCTTCTGCTCACTGCTGCAGTGCTGCTGCCGCCACAAATTCCAAGCGAACACTTGATGCAGGAGAGGAGAGGAGAGCCTCGTTCCACTAGCACTTGGGGACCCAAGCAAAGAAGCATGCCATATCCGATATCCATTTCCAATGATTGGGAACTTAGGTGGAAGATTCATAAAAGGGTCGGGTGATGCGAATTTAAAAAAAAAGATGGGCCAGGCCCCAGGGTGTGGACCAGATGCTTCCATGATCGTTATCTCTGTTCCTTTTAAAACTTTCAAAACGACTTGTAGGATTATTATACCGGTACTCCCTCCGACAACAAAATAATGCAATTCTCGCTTCCCGAGAAGTCAATCAGTTTGAACTTTGATTAAAATTATATAAAAAATACTAATATTCTTGATGCAAAATTAGTATCATTAGATTAGTTATGAATATATTTTCATAATAAATTTATTTGAAGACATAAATATTAATATTATTTGTTATAAACTTGGTCAAACTTGAGTTACTTTCGACCGGCACGGATCTTATAATTGCATTCTTTTTTGACGGAGGGAGTACAATATTCCCTCACGTACCCAGGACACCAGTCAAACTAACGAACATGTGCTCGCTAGCAGCAGTGCTGCTGATCCTGGTTTCAGAGTTCAGACGACCTGTCCGTCAGCCCTGCATTGATAATTAATTTGTACGTAACGAAACCGATTCTATCTGGCCAGGTCAGCCGGTGCCGGTTAGGCGAGGCTAGCACTGACCGGCCAATGCAGTTTCTCTCTCTACACGATCTGCCTGTCTCCCCGTGATGACTAATCAGACTGCGAGGCACAGAGGGAGACTGGGAGAGGGTGACGCTGCTGGCCTGCTGCTACAAACAACAAACACCACCCACAAGGCATAGTTTTCCCCGGCCTCACATGTCATGACATGAGTATGACCAAGGCCACCGTTGCGACCACACGCACACGCATGACGCATCTATCGCTCTCTGTCCGAGGGGGGATATGGAATGGAATGATGCCGGCCGAGCGACGCGGCGACCAGCGGCATGCAGACGCAGGTAGAGGCAGGGAGAGCCCCATCACGAGCAGAACAGGTCAATCGCGGCCGTACCCTGCAGTAATCAATACCAGAATGTTCCTGCTGCCTGTCCCCCTCGGCCTCCACTTGTGGCCCTTTTTCAATGTTGTTTTCGAAGAAAACAACCTGCAAGCTGCAGGTGCTGTCTGCTGTGGGACTCTGCGGTCATGCGTGCCGATCTCATCTGCCTCTGCCTGCCGATGACACACGGGGGGCAGCAGGCACCACCTGCCTGCGTCGCCGTGTCGCCGTCAGGGTCAGGCAGGCAGGGTCGTCAGGGTTCCCGGATCCCCAGCAACTGGTGGCCACGTCGTCTTCGTCGGAAAGCGCAACCAAGTCTGGTCTCGCGCACGCACGCACGCACGCACGGGTGCTGCTGTTGGCTGCTGCAGCTGCGAGAATCCCTTTGATAATTATGACGGCCAGGTGGGGGCTTTAAAACTGGAAAGATCCCGTGTTCCTTTGCTTGCGTACTGGTGCTACAAGGACTACAATGCGGAGGCCAGGATCTCTGTTTCTGCTGGTGTCCAAATCAGCAGGCTTTTCCAGCTTCTGATGAAAAGGCAGCTCGATCGGCTCAAGTCAACCTCAGACGCGGTTTTTTTTTTTTTGATTTTGGAGGCAAGGCAACTTGTGAACTTTGAAAGGAAAGGGTGTGCTGTGTGCTGGCTGGCTGTCTGGCTGGTGGCTGCCCTTGCCTTCCAATCAGAGGCCAGGAATAGATGGATAAGCAGATATTATTCTCCTAGATCCTCTCGTCACTTGCGCAAAGTACAACAAAAAGGGGAATGGCTGGCGCCATGACACATGACGTGACAAGATTATCAATCCCGGTCCACTTTGCAGATCTCCTTCACTCTCGGGTTAGCATTTTTAGGCATGGTTAAGTTCCTCATCTAAAGTTTACTCCCTATCACATTAAATGTTTGAACACATGCACGGAGTATTAAATATAGACTAAAAAATAACTAATTACATAGTTTATGACTAATTTACGAGACAAATCTTTTAAACCTAATTAGTCCATTATTTGATAGTGTGGTGCTACGGTAACACATATGCTAATGACGGATTAATTAGGCTTAATAAATTAGTCTCACGCAGATTACTGACGAATTCTATAATTTGTTTTTTTATTAGTATCCGAACAACCCATGTAACACCCGATGTGACACCCCAAAACTTTACCGTCGATTAAAACAAGGCCTTAATGCTCTCGCACGAGCAACGGAAAAAGGCAAGCAGAAAGAAAAGGGCTGGCCGGCATCTAGTACATACGCTACTTGACTACACGCACGCATGCAGATGTGTGGCTGCTGGGTGAGGTGAAGTCGCCCATGTTTTTTCCCCACGGGATGGGAAAGGCACGCGTAGCGTAGGCGGCAGAGGTGTCGCTTTGCTCAGGAATCTTGGAGCGAGTCCGTGGAGATCAAGTGGCGTGTGACGCGGACGCGCACGGATCGGCGGCAGGGCGTCGCGGGCGGCCATTGGGCCGGCCAGGGGAAATGGAACGCGCCGCTGGCTGCTGGCTGCTGTGCACGGCATGCAGACGCCGATCTACCAGACAGCGGTCAGCCGGTGTGCTGCAGCACTGCAGCGCAGCGTGTGCGTGCGCACGGGTTTGTCCCATGCCCGTGCACCCGCATGGCGTGCCGCCGCTTTTGTTTGGGCGCCGGAGCCGGACATGGACAGTACATGCAATTAAGGGCAACTCCAACATATTCCTCAAATTTTGGCCCCCTATCTCCTGAAATGAGAGTCAATCGTCCATATTCAAGCTCCTACTTCTCAGCACACTCCAACCGATCCCCTAAAATTTTCCTACTTTACATTATATTATCATGTGTCCCACTTATTGGGCCCACTTGTCAACCTCGTAACAAGAGAGGAATGAAGAGTAAGGGAGAGGATGAGGGACTCCAACATATGGGGGTCTAGGAGAGATGAATGAGAGTGCCTCTCCATCCGGGCCCCCGGATGAGGCTTCGGTTGGAGCTATGTTTTCAAGTCCCGAGCCCCTAAAAGAAGGATAGAAGTCCAGATGAGATCTTGGGTTGGAGTTACCCTAAGCTCTGCAGTTGCGGGGATGCAACAGAATTACATAAACAGCCCCCCTCCACATCCTGGCGTCGGCATGCATGCATGCCTGTCTCGTAGCAGTGCCCTACCTATGAGTAGTAGTACTGCTTCCGGCCGGCTGCCGCCACTACTGCATCACCAGCTGCTGGTAGTGACCGTTAGGTTTTCTTTAAATCCAGCGTGTAAAATTTTGAGTGTCATATCAGATATTACATCGATGTGTCGTATGGAGTGTTCAGATACTAATAAAAAAATAAATTACAGAATCCGTTGGTGATCCACGAGACGAATTTATTAAACCTAATTAATCCATCATTAGCACATGTATTACTGTAGCATCATATTGTCAAATCATGGATTACTTAGGCTTAAAAGATCCGTCTTACAAATTAGTCACAAACTATGCAATTAGTTATTTTTTAATATATATTTAATACTCTATGCATATGTTAAACATTCGATGGGATATGGAATAAAATTTAGATTATCTCCAATAACAACACATAAAATACAAGACTCATTTGTCCTTTGGGTAGCGCTACAGGCAAAATGTTCAATACATATTCGGCATCTTCTCCATAAACAAGACCCAAAAGAGGATCCTTTTTGCAAATAGAGTTTTCAGGAGAGAGAATGCCCATATTTGGGTTGTGTCTCTCAGGCGACCCAAAATAAGTCTCTCGTATAGGTACTCTGTTGAGACTGATTTTGATCTCTTACTAACTATTTTGAGTTTATGTGCCTATATCGGAGACCTTATTGGAGACCGTCCTAGCAACTAGGCGTGACTGACACAGGTGCAGATGCTTTGGCACGGCATGGCCCTGGACTGGCGTCCA